TCCTCCTCAGCTATGAGCTGTTATAAATTCTAGTTTTGTATGTACTTTCTCAACCTAATTGATTTTTTTGCAAACTTCAAAATTTACTACCCAGGGCAATCACTTCTCTTATCACACCCATGCTATGCCCCTACATTAATCATCATTTTTTTTGATGATATACAACCTAGGGCTATGACTTTTTGATTTTTTGTAAAATGATTTATTTCTTGTATCAAAAATTCATTGAACTTTTATTAAAAATAATGAACAAGAGTTTAATCCAGTTTATTTAAATAAGATATCACCCCAACACAAAATTTATAAAATCTTATATAAATAGAGTAATACTTTAACTTTCTGGTACCTTCTAGAGCTTGTTTTTGTTTATCTGTAAGTTTGCATATTACAAATATTATAAATTGTTAAATGTGTTAAAAAATACGTAAATACTATCCAGTTACGTCATTAGCAAATTGAAAAGTAAAGCTTTTGCAAGTTTGCAATTTTTGTTTATTTGTAAGGTTTTATGTTATGTTATAGCTATAAACTGTTAAATGCATTAAAAAACATATATGTACTATCCAATTACATCATTAGCAAATTGAAAAATAAAGCTTCTGAAATATTCTAATTTTTCCCCCCCTTATTGTAGATATGGTAAAATTCAATTTTTGGTTTGAGGGTGATCATTTTCTCAACCAAAAATAATTTAATATCCTTTTCATTACTTTTAAACAGACGTTCATTGATTTCTGATACAGGAACTATAGGGTTACAAAAAGACATCATATATATATATATATATATATATATATATATATATATATATATATATATATATATATATATATATATATATATATATATATATATATATTATATATATATATATATGTATGTATAGTCAAACCTAGTGAGCCAGACAAACCTACCCAGGAAAGCTTTCCCTGATGATCCACTTAGGTGAAACCTGGGTAGGTTTGTCTGGTTCACTAGGTTTGACTAGGTCTGCTCTACAGTTGTATTGAGCTTTTTTAGTTAGTTGTTTACTCATGTTGGGGTATTTTGGGCTTTGAACATGTATCTGTGCGATTTTTTTTCAACAGACTTTCATGTTCCTGGCTCTTTCTTTTTTAAAACCTTTTTTCCTTTGAGATTGATTTGATTATTGGCAAATCAAAAATTGAAGGTTTTTCGAGACAGTATATAGTTACCTATATTTATATGTATATATATATATATATATATATATATGTATGTATATATATATATATATATATATATATATATATATATATATATATATATATATGTATGTGTGTGTGTGTGTGTGTGCTGCTTGAATAATAGAAAAATTTCTTAAAACAATTTTTTTGTATTCCAAATTTGTGAGTTGCTCCATTCAGATAGTTTTCAGTTTATTTTTCAATTTGGACATTTTTAATTTCTGAAAATTTAAGATGAAAGTTTAGATAACATGAAAGTAATTATAACTGAACTGGGGATTCAAAAGAAAATGCCTCTTCTCTTTCTATTCTATCAAGAAAACAGGAACAGAGTCTACACTTTGATCTTAGGTGGTCACAGGGAAAGATTCTTTAAGAAAAAAAAGGAAACACCAATTTTGATTCTATGGATATATTAATTAAAAACCAGTATTGATAAACTTAAAAGAAAATTATAACCTAGGTAACATCAGATAACCATGCTACTTTGTTAATTTTCATAATTGATGGATATTGTGGATTTTATACACACAAGGCTAACTATCTGGATAAAAATTGTGCCTTTTTAATTTGTATCTTGGAAGTAATCCGCTTGGAGGTGGGTAGCATGTAGAAACTGCTTATATTTTATTTCATTTATATTTAAATAAAAAAATTCTTTTCTGACTTTAGAAAATAAAACTTCTTAAACAAAAAAGAAAAGAAATTACCATTTTATTTTTAGGCTGACCTGCAGGTTTAATTTGGCCAGAACATATTTTTTTCTGTAAAATTATGTATTACTCAACAAAAAAAGAAATAAAAATCTTAAACAAAAAAAAAAAACTTGTTGGCTGATTGACTTAATCCTCAAATTTTTTTTTTTATCACCCATAGGGTCGTAGGGACATCATGTGTACTGCAGCCACAGTAGAAGTGATGTTTCTTTGGCAAGATAGCCTGACAGAGTGCAAATCTCTCTGGGACTGTTTTGAATTCAAAGTTTTTCCTTCTCCTAGACCAGTTGCCACCCAAGGTTATAGAATCCAATCTGTCCTGCTATATCCTCAAAATTAATTGTCACAAATAAAAATTTAATAAAATTGTAAAAACTTGGTAAGTAGATAATTTTTGATAACATTTTTTTTGTCTCTTGGTAAATTTTAATATATTTTTCTCTCTTTTTCCTCCAAATGATAGCATTGAAATATTGATATGAAATGATGTAGTTTAACAATTAAATGTTGTATTATTTGAATCAATTTAACACTTTTTGGTTATAAAATTATCAAGAAAAAAGTTGAAAAATTGATTTCTCAGGACATAAGATAAGATGTATTGACGAATTCTCTCATGATATAATGATGTAACTGAAAGATTTTGTCAATGCTTGTACGGTCTTATCTCTGTTTTTTTTTGTTTTTTTTGCTGTCAGGGATGACTTAAATCATTTCATAGAAAAACAAGAAACTTAGACATATTTGATAGAGTAAAATCATGCCTAGAAAATCTAACAGCAAAACATACCAAAAAAACACAATGCTTAGTTTATTAGCACCAAACTATGTAAGCAACTGCATGTGTTGTGATTTCAAGGATTGGGGAGTTGAATCAAGAGAAGGCAACTACAGTGAATTTCAACCCACTGCAGGCCAAATCAGTACATAGGACTGAACTAGTGACAGTATATCCAATGCAGTGATCACATGGCATTACTGGATGGAGTCTTTCTTCAATTGAAGTCAATGGCAAGAGCTGAGTGTCTCCCCAATGGAATCAATGGCAACATGTTCATGACTAAAGCAAGCCTTCAATTTGGAGGACATCAGCTGTGGTTTAACTGGAAGAGAGATGAATTCCATTAGGTTTACTTAGCCAAGGTACACAATGCATGAATGAATATCTCTCCGGCTTTCAACTTTGTTATGTGAAAGTACCATTCAGGTGCTCAGTTGTGCAGCAACCCTATGAACATACCCAGTCATGATGATGATCATCATGATCATGAAATTAAAAACAGGGATTTTAGAAGAAAAAGCTAAGCTATAAGTATCAATAGTTGTGGATGTAAAGTATTGAGTGTCCTGGCAACTATTTCAAAGTCTTATCTTCGTCAATTGTTATATAATGTAAAATTTTTGACTTGAAAGTTTACTTAATTGCTATTTTTCTATTCAGTGGTGCTAGGAGAGCAAAAAAAACTAAATTTACTGGAAAAATACAAGTTTTATAATTTTCTAAACCAATTTGAAATGAACGGTAATTTATTTTAAGCAACAATATTTTTAAAGTAAAAAAAAAAACAAACCTTATTTTGAAATAAAAAAGTAAACGCCAATGCAATGTTTCTGAAAACATTTCTTTCAGTCATTCATAAATAGTCTTTAAATTAATTCTCATAACTAACTATT